TTTGCTGGTAATTATCCGACAAAAGAAGGAGTAATTAGCTCCTTCTTCGATCTCTGATTAGAGATCGAGAAAGAAAGTGGCCAGGGGAAACGAAAAGTAGGTTCAACTGGCCTGAAGAGGTTAGGGTACGCGGTTAGGGCACGCGGTTAGGGCACGCGGTTAGGGCACGCGATTAGGGCATGCTGTTAGGGCACGCGATTAGGGCACGTGACTAAAATATATATACATGGTAAGGTGATGATTAGAGATAGGTTCCTCAAATCTCGTATAATTTTAATTAATTAGGAAGTAGGATTGTTAAGGCTATTAAATAAAATCATTAGAATTCTTCTATCGATATTAGGGTTGATAGAACTCTAAGATTATTAGAATTTTTTAATAGTAGGATTGTTAAAGCAATTAAAATTATCCTAAAAGAATCCTTTAATAGTAGGATTATTAGGACTATTAAGTAAGATTCATTCTTTCTTTTAATATTCCAATAATCCTAATTAAAATTATTTTAATTAAGTTGAATTTATTTTTAAGAACGTTGTAAAAGTAAATATAACATGTTTTAAGAATAAAAATGTTTTAAAAGTGAAATTTAAATTATCAAAATTATCTTCAGAAATATTAAAGAAATTATATAATTATTAACGTTTAAGAAATAACATGTTATATTTTATTTTAAAAGTTAAAAATATATGTGTATTAAATCAAATATAATATTAAATCTAAATGTTAATGCTATCAATATCAAATTATTATATCGATGTTATTAAATATTTGAATAAATGGAATATTATTATTTGATATTAATAGCATCATAAATTTGTAAATTGTAAATTATAAATAGTTATAATTGTATTTTAATTATAATTTAACATTGATATTTTAATTGTACTAAACAACGCAAAACACGCGCTTCGCGCGTGCCATTTATTCCCTTTTATTATATATACATTTCTCACTGTCACACAAGCTGTCAAAATTTGTAATAATCGCAAATGACAGCTGCTCACTATGAATTGAGTGCAATAAAAGAACCAATCGGCATCGCGGAAAATAGGCAATATTACTTCGAGATTTTCGAGAATCGACTTAACGCCTTTTTTAAAATAGGATTATATGAATCTATGGTGGAAGGAGAAAGAATGACCTCCTTCATTCAAACAAGCCATACAAGAAACAATTAAAAAACAGGCTCTAATAAACTTCCAAATTGGATTGCGAGATGAATTAAAAATTCTCGTGCGTTCACAAAGATACACCACGCTCCAAAAAGCGATAAACGACGCGAGCGCGGAAGAGAAGCTTATCGAATCGTCTATCACACGAGCACCCGGCTTCTCTAATAAAAATAAATTTGATACTAAACACGCGCGACCAACTCGAGATACAAATATACAATGCTATAAATACGGAAATTCTGGTCACTATGGACGCGATTTTTAGATGTGGAGATATGAAGAAATGGGGAAATGGAGATGTGGAGAAGTGGAGATATGTCAACTCGAGACTGCATTGAAGTTATATTTTTAATTTGAATTGAACTGTTTTGGGAAACAATCATAATATATTACGAGCGACGCGATGGCTGACACGACAATTTTTATGAAAATATATAAAAGATGATGCATGCGACCATGTTTGCATGAGTATACAGATATGGAGATGTGGAGAAATGGAAAAATTGAGATATGGAGAAATGGAGATGTGGAGATGTGGAGATGTGGAGAAATGGGAAAATGTTAATTCGAGACTGCATTGAAATTGTATTTTTAATTTAAATTGAAATATTTTGAGAAACAATCATAATATATTAAATTTATGCGATAAATGACTTGATAATTTTTATGAAAATATATAAAAAGAATATATAAAATATATAAAAATATATAAAAGAAGATGCATGCGGCCATGTTTACATGAGTATACAGATATGGGGATGTGGAGAAATGGAGAAATGGTGATATGGAGAAATGGAGAAATTCGAGACTGCATTATATTTTTATTTTAAATTGAACTGTTTTGAGAAACAATTATAATATATTACGCGATAAATGACTTGATAATTTTTATGAAAAATATACAAAAGAAGATGCATGCAACCATGTTTATATGAGTATACAGATGTGGAGATGTGGAGAATCCTTAATTATAAATGTATATTAAAAAAGAAATTCTATACACGTATATTTTTCAGTAATCGCGGATACATTTTTAAAACTTCAACCATGATTGAAAGTACCCTCGTCATACAGTCATTAACCTTTCGTCAGCTTTCTATTTAATTCCACATCCAATTAAAAACTTTATCCATAGGGTGGAGTGCGTGACGAGCGCGTGATAGATCGACTATTGCTGTTTTCAGTTTCGACACTTTCGGGAACAAATCGTTCTCGAGAGCCATATGGCTCCATAACCACGTGGAAAAATCCTGAACCTATTAAAATTTTCTTATGATATTCGAATTGCGTCGCACATTATTTGCGGTATATTTTACGGAGTATAATTATATATAATATTTAAAACGTATGTGTGTGTGTTTAAAAAAATATTATTTTAAGAGTTTTTCGAAAATAATATAATGATACATTGATTATACATGTATATGTATGTTATATACAGGATATCTGATAACTTTTTGCAGTCCCGAAGTGTGAAGATTGATTCAAAGGAATTAGGAGGAAACCCTTCAAAGGATTAAGAAGGAAAGTCCTCCCAGAAATATATATATATATACAGGGTGCTATATATCCCAGACTATCCGCACATCCCTTTTAAGATGAAAATAAATGGCTTTTATAAAAAATCTCGAACAATTTTTAAGTAAATCGAGTACGCTCTATCAAATGGTAATATTTTCAACTTTTGATTCCGACTGGAAATATGCCATCCGGATCGGAAGTTGCGTTTTTTTAGGGGAACATGATACTTTTTATTACAGATTCGAATTGTACGTGAAAAAATAAGAAACTTTTGTATCAAACGTTTTTTCTAAAAGTGCCTCTGTCAATCTTAAAATTGACTTTGAAAGTAACTGATGAAATAATGAATTTCAATTTTAAGATTGACAGAGGCACTTTTAGGTGCCTTTAAAAAAGTTTCTTATTTTCTCACGTACAATTCGAATCTGTAATAAAACGTACCATGTTCCCCAAAAAATTCAACTTCCGTTCCAGGTAGTGTATTCGGTATAGATCGGAATCAAAAGTTGAAAATATTACCATTTGATAGAGCGTACCCGATTCACTTAAAAATTATTCGCGACTTTTGATAAAAGCCATTTATTTTCATTTTAAAAGGAGTGTACGGGTGGTCTGGGACACCCTGTATATCCCAGAAATATATATTTTACATATATATGTAAAATACAGAGATAATTTTTCAAAAATAAAGCTAGATTAACTTAAACTAAAAAGAAAGGCCTTATATCATTTTGTAAAATTCGCAAAAAATGGGATATAAACAGGAAAAGGATGCCCACATACACACAATCAAAGCGATCTGTGTTAGACCTTTAAATATGTACTTATCTAGAGCTCTAATCTGGAGCACATGTACGCTCTCTGAATGTGTGCATATGACCAGCATCCTCTTTCTAACACTAGACTCATAGAAGAAAAAAAATACTTTAGATTTTATGTTAATATATACATTTTAAGATAAATATCGAATATGAATTAACCCACATAGCACATTATACTAAAAAGATATCTTTATAGATATCTTTCATTCAGATATGTACACTTACGTACAAGAGCAATCCTGTATCTTCGTAAATGCCGATAATCGTGTTTCTATTGACTTCTATTATCTCTTTTCGATCGCTGGGCTTATCGTCGTAATATTCTAATCTGTTCTTCTACACGTGTCAACTTGTATACATCTAGAACGAAAATAATACGTAAAATTTAGTAAAATTTTAATATTTAATATTAAGTCAAAAATAGCAGAGTTTTATGCTACTCTTGTACATATTTAAAGATCTGCGTGTGTGTGGGTGTCCTCTTTCTCTTTATATCCCATTTTTCTGCGAATTTTACAAAATGATATAAGGTCTTTCTTTTTAGTTTAAGTTAATCTAGTTTCATATTTAAAAAATTATCTCTGTATTTTACATATATGTGTAAAATATATTTCTGAGAGGATCTTCTTCATTGGAACCAATCTATCTTCACATTTCCGGACTGCAAAAAGTTATCAGACACGGAATGTATATAACAACATAAATATATAACAATAATAATATAACAATAACATACGATAACATAACATTGCTTTATTAATTCGATATTTGATAAACATATTATTATTATAATATTTTGTTTAAATTTATATATATATATATAATTTTTATTATTATAATATTTTTTTAAATTTATATATATATATATATATAATTTTATATATATATATATATATATATAATTTTATATATATATATATATATATATATATATAAAATTTATATATATATAATTTTTATTATTATAATATTTTTTTAAATTTATATATTTATATTTTTATATATTCTTAAAGAAATAATTATACACTACTAAATTGCAATATCCATGTCGCGATGGTTGGCACTCTTCATCAGGCATTTTTCTACAAATTTTCTTTATGAAAAAAAGCAAAGTCTTTGCTCATGTATCGTCGTTACTTGACAATAATGGATATATTGATTAAGTGTTTTCAGCTTTGTTCTCTCTATATGCTCTTCAGTTCCTCGATACGCGATAAAGAAAGAGATTCAAAACAATGTCAGATGAAGAAACACTCTGAAAATTGATACTTTCAATCTAAATGATGGCTAATAGAGACAAAGTGGTAGGAAATTTTGATGATTTTATTTTACATAAACGAACATCAGACTACAGTATTAGCTATATTCAGCAATCATTTGCATTGGCTATAAGTATAATTGGCAGAATTATTGCAAAAGTCGAGCTACACAAAGAATTGTTAACACAGTAAGATATAACTAGTGGACATGGTAGGGATCAAAGGGATCCTATGATGCTTTCTCTCAGTGCTCTAATTTAAGGAAAATGGACTTCTTCGATGGTCGTAACTACAGAGTGAATAAAATTTTGCTGTCAGCAATTGGCCAATGGCCTTACCAATCGTCCAAGACGAACTATATTATAACTATTGTCATAACGACTATAACCTGTTCGCAACTTCTTACGAAGGTATAGCAACGATTAATGTTGTACAGCTTTTATTTCGGAAAAATAAATCCGTAAATCATCATTCATTTATCTGCTTGCATTGGATTTAATTTTATTTAATTATTTAATTATTATAAGTTCAATAGTAATGAGGCATTAAGTCTATGATAATGAGGCTCAGTCTATTTGAATTAACCATATATTATGAAATATTTACAATAAACAAAAAAAAATAAAAAAATACAAGTTAAAGTTAAATGTGAAATGTAAAGTGTTCATGAGGAAAATCAAAATAAAATGTCAGTATAAAGATTACAAATAATTTAAAAATAACTGATAAAGAGAGAAACAAATAAATGGCGTCGCAATAAAATGTCAGTAAAAAGATATTTAATTATTATTGTATTATTTGGATTTAATTTAATTATTTTCCATCCTCGTAATCGCATTGATTACTTCGTTTAAGTTATGCAGTATGTTCTCCTATATTCACGACATGGAAATCGTAATCGAGTGCCTTACTCCGATAATGATTGACATATCAGGTATAACGAAAATAATGAATTCCATGTTATGTGTGAATGAGGTAGGTGCTATTATCATGTATTTTTCTCGGAATCGCTTTTATTCGTGTAATATATTCCAAGCATTACTGTCAACACAAACCTTCCACTGAAAAATAATTTGCACAATTGTAAATTTATACAGATGAGAACATTGCTTGATCAGATACAAGCTGATTTTCGCTCGTTACGAAACTCCGGCGATATAGAAATTCTTCAAAAGTACGCGGACAGCGGCAGAAAATTCTCGATTATTTACATTTGTCAGTAAATGACGATATAAGAAATTTTTGCTATTTATTTAATCAATCAACAATTGTCTATATTTTTCATTGATATTTTCTTTCTAGACACGTTGTATATAGTAATGGTGATATTTATGTTGACGCCTTTGCCAGCGTTAATTCTTCACGTTGCTAACGAAACTCGACCAATGTTGCACAGAGTCGAATATTACGTTGACATTGATAAATATTACTTTCCGATTTTAATTCACGGGTATCTCACCGTTTTAATCTGCGTCACTTCCATAGTCGCGACCGATGCGATGTTAGTGATATTTGTGCAACACGCTTGCGGAATGTTTATCATAACCGGGTGAGTAATAGTCTTCCTTAGAAAGAGAGACTTTGGTGAAAGAGTTGTCTCTTAGATTGATCATTATTATTCTAATAGTTCGCGAATAAAACGAGCGTTACAAGGGGAATTGACAGATGCCAATCTTTCGGTTGTGGAGGATAAGGCGTATCGAAATATGATACAATGTGTTCATGATCATAGAGCTGCTATAAGGTTCGTGTCATTTGTATACATTTGTTTTGCGATTTTTATTTTCCCTTGAATATTTCCTCGAACAACGAAACCTGGATCAATTTTGACTCCTGACAAAAAGCTCTGTTATACATGTCGCAGAATAACATTTATAATGGATTTTAATTATGATAATATTTATACATCATTATTTTATGTTTTCCTCTTTAAAAAAATATTATCAATATAATTAATATAATAATATTTATAATTGAAAAATATTATTTATAAAAAAATACTATTAATTAAAAATTAATTATAATACTACTTATTAAAAAATATTATTTATATAATTAATATAATAATATTTATGATAATTAAAAGAAAAAGGAAAAGTATTTTTAAAATAAAATTAATTTGATGTTTCTATAGATAAAACATATGTATGATACAGGTAAAATATTTGTTTCGATTATCGAACATGAGTTTTACAAAATAATTTTAAAATATTATTTTAAACTTGTCATTAGTAACCCAATGATCCATCGACGAGGAATCAAATGCTTCGTTTATTTCTATAATATTAAAACAAATAAATAATCACGCGAATATTCTTAACTGATCAATTTTTATAATATCAAGCGTGTTACATTTTTCTTATATTTGAATCAAGGCTCGTCAATCTCATAGAAGCTGCGTATTCCAAATATATTTTGTTTCATACTGGACTTAATATGATAGCTATAAGCATCACAGGTGTTGGGGTATGTGTGTGTCTCATATTTAGTATTATGGTAATATTATCGTTATTATTATTATATTATGGTAATTTATTATTATGGTAATCAATCAATAATGAATATTGTCAATTAATTTAGCAGTAGATCTTCAAATATAAACGATTGGAAAAATAATATCGCTAATCCATGATTTATTTATATACATTAAAGGCACATAAACTCTTTTTCCATCGCATATAATATAATCATATAAATATCATTATTCGATTTACATATCTTTAATTATTATTTAGATATTTATAATATTATCTTTGCGATAGAATATTTACTCAGTTTCCATTGCAATTAATATAATTATTGTTTAGGCTGTGACAAAATTGAACGACCCGTCTGAACTTTTTAAATTAATAGCAGTGTCGTGGGCGTTATTATTCCATCTATGCTTGGAATGTTTGAATGCTCAGAAATTAATGGATTATAGCGGATATCTTCTTCATACTAGTCTGTACGGACATTATACGTAAAAAAATAAGATACTTAATATTAAATTATGTGAACGGGAAATGATATTTATAATGCATGAGGATAACAATTGGCTTCGAAATTTGAATGGCTCAGCAAGGCTGTTAGAAAATTTTTCTATAATAATTGCAGAGTAAATTTAAACTGGTATGATGCATCTCCTAGAACGAAAAAGCTCGTTCTTTTCATGATGATGAAGACGCATTCGCCTTGTGTATTAACGGCCGGCGGTATGTTTGTTTTATGCATGGAAACATACGCTACGGTAAGATGATTCGTTCCGAGTAATTAAACGACACAGGATACATAATAATATTATAATATTTAATAATAATAATATTTGTATAATATAATTAATAATATTCATTCGGAAAAATTAATTATTTTATATCCGTTCTTCGATATAATTAAAATACATTTCTTGAGATGAATTTTCAATTTTATATACAATCAGTCAATTTCATATTTTAATTTTTTGTACTTACAATGTCGATCGTTTTTCTCTTCAAGATTGTGAAAACTGCTGTATCATATTTCACCTTCCTACGCTCGGCGCAATAATGGATTCTCCCTTTTGAAAGTTGACAATGTTGAAATATCAATGATATCAAGAAACAGTAATTAACGACCATGAGCTAAAAATTTAATCTGAAATGAAAAACAATCGCTTTAATAAATTATTTGTCAAAATTTTATATCAAGATTATTAAATAAATGCGAATTGTATAACAAATCATTGCATTTACATCGTTATGTCGCGTATAAATATAGTTTTTTATAAAATACTATTATTTTCAATAAGCATTTTTATATGTGTCGTAATAATTAGGCTTAAGCGTTATCTGATTATTCAAAATAATTCAAATCTGACATAAATAGATAATATATTTCCGTCTCTCAAAAATCGTGTTGCGAATGATTCTTTCAACTTTACATGTATCATGCAACAAGTATTAATCGGAGCATTACATCGTGTAAAGCGTATTCCACGAAAACGCGAAAAGGTAGCAGGACAAATTGAATAGAACAATCTTATGACGACAGGAAGTGAATTAAAGCGAAATTCGCATTGACCTCTGCTTGTACGAGGAACAATCGCGAGATTCAAGCGAAGCGTTGTGTATGCACTTTTAACTTTCCGCGGAATAGAATTTTTAACTCGACCCCTTGTATCGTACTCGATTACAAAAAAAAGAATATGACGTACGGTGCACCGAGAATTTATCTCCCCCTTTAAGTATATGTTACGACGTGTATCGATCCCATTTCGCGTCTGCGGTACTATTTTTCTCAATTACGCTTGTCCAAACGGAATGCCTAATGAGGCTTCTGCCTCCTTTTGCGCCCTTTTTGTCCGATCGCAAGTGCAGTGTAGTGTCATACTTGCTACGGAGTAGTCGACATGGATAGTGTTCAAGGTCAGTATATGCGTATCAATCAGATGTTAATGTGCTTCATCGGTCAGTGGCCGTATCAGGAGATTTGGGAAAAATTTCTGATCCAAAGCATTTTCGTACCTGCAGTTTTCTCTCAGGCTGTTGTTCAGGTAAATCCTTGTTTCCTCCTAAACTTCTTAAGAATAAAAATATTGAATATATAACGAAATACATACACAAAGAGTGTAGATTATAAATTGCATTAATTAATAACACATCTATAAAAAAGTGAATCAAAAATGTTTCTCTCTCTCTCTCTCTCCAAGTCAGAAATTATATTTAAAAATCCAATTAATTATATAATAATTATATATTAATTATAATATATTAATATATATTAATTATAATTATTATATTAATATATTATAATATATAATATATATTATAATATATTAATATATTATAATTATAATTATTATAATATATTAATATATATTAATTATAATTATTATATTAATTATATAATAATTATATATTAATTATATAATAATTATGCTTACTTCAAAATTTTAAATTAGTGCGAATTATTATTTTCGAAGACAATGTGATGGATTGGTTTTTCGATGAATTTAAAATTGCAAAAAATATACGTATTGTATTTTCAAAGAGATTTTCCAAATTTATCTTTTTGCGAGATCTTAAATAAATATTAAGTGAGTTCCTCGCGCCAACTTTGAGAAATTTTGCAGGGCGGTGGCATGATCGCCGCGTGGTTCGCAGGTGATATCGATGCGTTTATGGAAGGTTCGTCGCCTTTCGTAATTAGTTTAATGTGCATCTGTAAACACATTAACTATGTATACAATCATGAACAGGTATGTTTGTTTCCGAAAGACTCGACGTCATTCATATGCCTCGTTATACGATATTTAAGCATAAGTATTCGTAAATACAGATGAAAAGACTCGTGATTATAATGGCGGAGGATTGGAATATTTACTCAAAATATAGCTACGAATACGATATCCTGTGTAAAAATTACGCGATGGGCAGAAAAGTCACGATTGCTTACGCAGGTAAAAATCCCATCGAAAATTCCACGACATTATTTAGAGATTCCAGAATCACATTTCGATCGATTATATGCGAGTATAGAATTTATGCAAGTATAAAAAAAATAATTGACTCTTAAATATTTTAAATAGAATTGTCTTTTAAATATTTTAAATAGACGAAATAAAATATAAATAAGAAAATATATCGCGTATATCCTTTAAGCAGATCGATACGAGCGGTACGTTACGACCCTTGATTGATACATTATTTACAGTCTCCCTGTACGGATCGATGACTCCCTTTCTGGTTGTGCCGGTGATAATAAACACTGCCAGTTATATGGGTCTGTACAACATTTCCGATAAGCCCCTGATGTTTCGTACGGAATACTTTATAGATTCGCAGAAGTATTACTATCCGTTACTGGTGCACTCGTACATCGGCACCCTCGGATTCGTCACAATCGTCGTAGCGATCGATTCGATGTTGGTGTTTCACGTACAGCACGAGTGCGGGATGTGCGAGATCTTAGGGTAACTCCGCAATAATGGCACACTTTGTAAGACCGAACAGCATTCTCATCCGAAGCGCATTTCACACTTCGAGAAATTTGCATCTAAATGTCTCTCTACGAGAAATTCCGACGATGTTTATCTCATCTCGTGAGAAACACGCGTTTCTTATCTTTTATATAAATTTTTTACATAATATATAGGAGCAATACATTTTCTCGTCATGTAAGTCGGTTGAATGAAGGAGAAAGAAATTGTGTAATAAACATCTATCATTATCCATAGAATGTCTTATTAATGTGTACGTTCCTCAAATTCATCTCATCCAGTACGATATCAGTAGATTAACATAAAATTACAATCACGAGAATAAGCGATATTAAAGTTTTTAATATTTTAAGGCTATCTCTATGATTAATTTCAACATCTTTGGATTCGATTATATCTAAGATACGTTCATCAATGAGCATTTTTTAGATATCGACTAACACGGATTGTTGATACAGCCTCCTTAAGCATAGATTTGCATCCGAGCAAAGAGGCTGCATCGTATAGAAATGTGAGAAATTGTGTAATCCTGCACAACCACATAATACAGTTAGTATATCTTTGAACTATGCTTTATATATTTCTTCGTTTTTTATTTCACATCTTTTATATAAATAAATATATAAAACTATAAATATATAAATATATAAATTTATATAAATAAATTATAAATAAATATATTTTTTTAAATAAATAAATATAAATAAATATATTTTAAATATATTTATTTATATTTATTTATTTGAAACGATATATTTATTTATACATATTCTAATTAATATAATTTAATATTTTATAATTTATTTATATTTGTTTTTTTTTAAATATATTTATTTAAATAAATTTTAATTAATATAAATAAATATATTTTCTTTAAATAAATAAATAAATATATTTTTTCTTGTTTCTTACATGCATGTGTAAATGTATGTGAAAATAGAAATTTATAAATTTATAAATTTACATATACGAAGAGATTAATATTATCTGCTTTGTTTAATCAATTGTGATCTAATCTAATTTTTTTTCTGATATATGAATTGTTCAGGATTAATACATATGTTTGATTTATATTTTAAATATGTATTCTTTTATAAATTTATATAAATTGTATTAATTTTTTTCTTACATTAAGGTACGCTAAGCATGTCGAAAAAGCGAATACGACATCGTATTTTTTTCAATTAGGTTTTAACATGATGGGCATGACTTTCACAATATTCCAGGTTAGTGCTGGAAACAGTATAAACATAATTACTAATCAATTGAAAAATTTTAGATTTAAATATTATCTTTTTAAGATTGCACTATCTTGCTCAAGATAAAATATTTAGATAACATATTTATAATTATATCAATATATGCAAATATGATAAAAAAGTTTTTATTACAAGTTAGGCAGTGGTAAAGTTAACCGATATAAAGGAGGCTTTGCGATTCATGTCATTCACGGTGTGCTTGTTTTCCGTTCTTTTTCTCGAAAGCTGGCCGGGTCAACAACTATCAGACTATACTGATAAAATTTTTACGTACACGTGAGTATCGTAAACACAATCGCGCTCTTCGTAGCTAAAGCGATTTGGCTGTAACTAACATTGTTATCCATTATATTAATTTTTTAATTAATATTATATTAATTTTATGTTATTTTATATTATGTTATTCATTATAATAATTTTATAATTAATTAATAAATTAATATTATATTGATTTTATAATAATTAATTAATTATATTAATTACATTATATTTTAAAAGCAATCGAAATCTGTGATGGTGCACTATGTATCCAGACTTGTATACTCAATTTACAGTATTGCATTAAAAAACACACAGACTTGCCAGAATAATTCAAATAAAATACATAGACTGTTTATAAAATAAAGAAAAAAGATTTATTTGATACGTCGATCTTTCAGGACCGACGGAAAATGGTATCAATCTTCACAAAGAGTGAAGAAGATGATTGCTATTATGTTATTGAAGAGTTGCATGCCGATTAGGATAACTGCGGGCAAATTGTACACTCTGAACTTGGAGAACTTCGCTGCAGTAAGCGAGTTTCTTCGAATAAAATTTAACGCTACAAATCTTATTGGATTATCTTTTCTTTTTTTTTTTAAGGTCGTACGATCGTCGTTCTCTTACTTTACCGTCCTCTGTTCTATGCAGTGAGCATTGCAGCTAGAAAACTTTATCTATTACTATTATCAATGATGACAGTTGCAAGCAACGTCCGTTTGCTCGGCAATTACGTGAGTTACAGCTGTATAATTAATAAATCAGAACTCGGAGAGGGATTACTTGTGACAAAGATGCACGACAGTCGAAGTATCTAACTTAAACAATTAGATAATCTAAGTATTGTTGACCAGATTAGTACTAATATCTAGGAAAGAAAAGGCGAATATAATTTAGCTACGTAAAATATTTGTATGGAAGAAAGTTTATAATAAGATACATATGTTCTAATGAATGAATGAATTATTAAATCATGTTGGCCGCTAACATGTCTCCTAAATTGTCTATCACGATTACATTTTTATTGCACAGACCGTAGAAGCGTAAAATATGAGAAAGCTGTACGCATTACCTTAAATAAAATTTCATATTATTGAGATAGAAAGAGGGATTTTTCTTGCAAACTCACCGCGTTAAAGGTTACATAGCACAACACGATAAGTTTCCCTGCAGTTATCGTCAGTGGCTTTTTGCTTCTCATCATGATCATTATCAAAAGCTTTTGCGATACTACAGGCATTCTATACCATTGTAATTTGTATCTGCAAACATAAACTGTGTTATACCTACTGTCCAGCTATTCTAAAAGATTTCAAGTTAAACATATTTTTGATGGATGCATTGGTGCGAAAGATAAATTGATACCTCATACAGTTTCTACGATATACAGGGTGTCTGATAACTTTGTGCAATCCCGAAGTGTGAAGATAGATTGGCTTAAATTAAGAAGAAAGGTCCTCTACTGTTTTGCGATATTCGCAATAATTAACAAAAAATTAATTAAAGAAGATCAGCCAATCCATGCTTCTTTAATTAATTTTTCGTTAATTATTCCAGTGAATATCTCCAAACAGTAAAGGACCTTTCTTCTCAATTTGACCCAATCTACCTTCACACCTCGGGATTGCAAAAAGTTATCAGACACCCTGTATAAATTTAATCTGTTCGCGTATCTACACTATCTATATTTGTAACGAACACAATATGATTCATGATTTTTACGGAAAAAATGTACTCCGGATATTATATCAAACGTACGCGGATTCATGCACCTTTTCGTTGCAGTCTATGATCTTCTGACCTTGCCAATTTTCAAAAAACGTATTAAGCATAAGCGCGTTGAGATAACTAGCGTATGGCAAAAGACGATTGATGTTTTCCTTATTTGTCATTAGCTAGAAATTTTTTTATTGCATACATGTGATTGTATATATTTGTGACTTCCCACAGTTATTAAATATAAATTACCTGAAATCCTACGATACTTAACAATGACCCATTAGTTACCATGTGTATGAAAAATGGGAATCTGTAGAGTGATTCTATGGCAGTGGCGAATCTAGCGTAAACACGTCAATTTTTTATTATTGATTATTTATGAAAATGATTTGAATTATCACACACACAAGTATATACTAACTGTATCGCTTCTGTGTGCCTTCGAACGCTATACACGATATTCGAATAACATTTATTCCGCGCGAATGCCGTTATTAAAATGTTATCAATGCCATTGTCTTCAAATTCAAGGGCTCTTTCCAAACGATACCTAAAATTCAATATCGTGTACAAATGTTGAAAAATTAATGCTTTATAATTATGAATATATTCATTTTATTTAAATACATTAAAGATGTTTTGTACCTATTTTCAAAATATTGAGAATTTAATGAAAATTGTACAGAATGTCCTTACATATAGTTAGAATCTTCAGTACAATTTTTAAATCAATTCACTAAAGCGTTCACAAGTTATAAGGATTTTAATTTGCACCGAATTATAATAACATGTGTTCTTATGGGAAACGTATAATCACGTCGATTCAAATAACAAAAACACATGGAAATAATATTCAGAATTTGTTTAAAATTTGCAAAAGTTTAGATACAGAGAAAATATTTGGCCAAATAATATTATACAAGTACTAACTGGTTAAAAAGATATTAAATATAATTTAATGAAGTTAGCCATGTATCTGTCACAAGACGAAATTCTCTGCCAAAAGTTAATCATTTCGATTAACAAAATTCGGAATATTTTAGTAAAAACGCAATAAATATTAAAAAATGTAAAATTAAATATTTAATATTTATAATTAAAAATTAAATATAAAAAATATATCTTTGCACTGTAGTTAAGATCAAATTGTAATATTCCACACAATTTCTTACTCAAAATACACCAAAAGTGGATATATTCGTAAATATTGATTTTCAGCTACTTTTTGCTGGGATTGTACATATAAAACATCCTTAAATGAGTACATAAATTTTATTTAAGTACATTAAATGAGTACATAAATTTTATTTAAATGAATTTCAAAATCTTGAGGAAAGAGAATTTAATATTTTCGCGGATTCATCAAACTTACCTCAGAGCTGCAAACAATCCACAGCAATGTTGAACGCACGCCAAATACAAGACGTTGAACGCAGTCAATAATATCGTGTAATACACCTCGCATATGGAGCATTGTATGAGAAGTGGGATGTAGCGCATTTGTAAATCAAGCATATAGTTGATGCGATAGGTAGATTGTGCCTCCTGCGTCTGATTTGACGCGTCGATCGTTCCGAAGGATGTTTCGTAGAAAAATCTGGTTATCAAAGGCGTGAGTGCGAAAATCACGGCATGGCCAACTATAGTACCTGATAAATATGAAAACATTAGAGAGATTTCTAGACTTTAATAGATGATATTATCGTTGGAGGATGGAAATAAAACATACATTTATTATTACGAATCGTTTTATCGATTTATTATAAAAGATGTTCTATACGAGAAGTGAAATATTTAAAAAATTGAATACTAATTTTCTGGAATTAATTACTATAGAACGTAAGTGCAAAATTACACAAAGTCAAATTTTTTAAAAGATATATTTTTGAAATTATTGATTGAAATACGAATATGTATAGAGTCCATTAAAACTAAAAAAAAATACTTTTACAAATTTACATTTTACGTTTTGCTTCTGATCAGATTTAATTTGTATTATTATTATTATATTATTGAATTAATGAATTTACCTGCATAAATGTAGCTAAACTTTCGCGCAAACAGTAAGTACGAACGCAAGATTTTAGTTTCCTGGTCCGTCTTCGGAGAACACCAATGCTCTTGTATTTTCACCAGAAGCATCTTGATCTGAAGCTCGAAGTCAATTTAAATATGGTGTCACTCGATAACGTTCTATTGTTATCTTAATTGTGCTTCAATCTTTCAATTAAAATGACGAAAGCACCGCTTTTATTTACACACCTTAGGTAATTTATAAATTGTGTAGATGAATTTAAACGTTGACGTTATGGAGTAAAATAGCATCGAAAGACAGTCGAACACTTCGAAAAAATCAGGCCAGACTTTGAACAAACACAGTAGCTGTGTTTGCCATAAATATATTAGAATTTCGGAGATTAGTATAATTTCAATTTCGTACAGTAATGTGTACAAAGTGTAAACAATCGTCGCATTTCCTCGATTGAATTTTTAATTTGATATGGAAATATTTTAAAAAGTAAAAAATTATCTCTCGCGCAAAATATTACAAGGACGCTGAAGTGCACATTTATTTGAAAAAATTGCGATGACTGCGACTGATATTTTTTTACAATCTGTGCACAATGCTTTGAAATAATGAAACCCCCCTCTTTTTTTCTTTTTTTTCCTCGACATACCTCGAATATCATCACGGATACGAATAGAAACGTAAATCCGACGTACATCGCGCAACGTTTACGTAGCTCTTGAAAGGGCCACACACCACAAATAGTTAACAGAATGCGGAGATTGTTGTAGTTCGACTCACAAAAGAAATCGTTGACATCACACATGTTACTCTTTTGCCACTGACGGTTTGGTGCGAGTGAAATTCATTTTACTTACGGAGGTCTCTAGATTAGGTTTGTCTCTCATAAAAAATTCCGTTTAATGTTGATTGCCATGTGTATGCGACATGCACATGTTGTCAACACATTCATGCTGTGAAACAAGCTACTACTATTAAAGGCTATTTGCGATCGATTGCGCAGTTGGTTATATTCAGAGGTAGAGGATTAAAGGTAGTATTTCTTTTGCAGATTGCGAAACAATTCAAACATTGATTGCATTAAATGAAAGACAGTATTTTGCGAATAAAAGGTACTCTTATCGATTCTTTCTATATCTTGGTACTGTTGCAAGTAAATTTTCAATAAACTCTATGAAAGAGAATCGTATGATTTGAAAATTATAGAAAATATTATTCTACAAATTTCTTTTAGGAGGTTTTAATTTTTCTTTTGCCTTGAAAGAAATGACATCTTGTGATGAAAATGAAAAGTATTTCAATTAGGTTATTTTATTATTGTTAATAAAAATTTTTCGAGTCTATTGCATGCAGTCTCAGTTATTCAAGTATTATATCATCAATATGTGACTTATATAATTTCATCATAAATAATTGCTAAATATTGATATTATTTGTTAAAATTTTATAACTTATAAAAAAATTACTGTTAAATACTAATAGTAATTATGAAAAATTGTTCATGTCAATAAATATTTGTATGACAATTTTCAAAAAATTAAATTTGTTTTTTGTTTTAAAAAAACTTTTTTTATTGGAAAAATTATATAACAATTGTTTCAGGATTTTATTAAATTATTTACATAAACTGTAACGTCTCTTCAGTTATTAAAATATTAATATAAATATGAATTGTATTTGAAATATTTATTGTAGAGAGCGCAATAGCATGAAGTATGATAATGATGTGCGTATTACCTTAAACAAATTTTTTTATTTTAATAAAGCACGTATTTGTATGAAATAATTATACTTACCGCGTAAAAAGTTATGTATGACATTGCGAAGAATTTACTAATAGTGAGTTTCAATGGTTTTTGACTTGTCATCATTATCATTATAAGAAGCTTTTGTGTCGCTATTGGCATATTGTACCATTTTGAGTTATATCTGCAAATTTCGCAAGATGTCCATGATTTATTCCATGTATTTATATATAATTCCATGTATTTATTTGACGATAGTGTTATTACATTTTTATTGCAATCTGGGCGATTTCGTTAAAAAAAATATTATAAAAAGCTATTACTAGATGTTGTATAAAACGTACACGGATTCAAATATCTTCTCGCTGGAATCTATGATTTTTTGACCTTGCCAATTTTTAAGAAATATATTCATTAATAATCCACTCATATAAATACAATATGTTATAAAATTATTTATATTTTCCGTGTTTGTTATCATCTAAAAAAAGATAGCATAATATGAATAACATATATATGATAATATCATATATTCAATTTTAAATTAATTATATTCTATAATTTATATTAAATAATTTTTGTGCATCATGTAAAATTATATGTAAAATGTGTCATAGAAATTTCATCAAACGTATATACCTGAAATTCTACAATGCTTAAAGATATTACAAGAAACCCCACGTGTACAAAGAAAGGTATGTTGTACATCGATTCCATAATAGCAATAAATCTAATGCATGAAGATATTATTTGAGATTATTATTATACGATAGAAATATACCTATTTAAATATACTCACTGCATCGCTTCGGTATGTCTTCGAATACAGTATACAATATTTGAATAAGACGTAATCTGAGTTAATATTAAACCACCATTATTGTTTTCGAAATCAAATGCATTTTCTAATCTATATCTGAAATTTAATATTGTCCAAGTATTTAAAAAATGTATTAACAAAATTTAAACAAAATTTTTTTTGGTTTAGAGCAAGATTCATTATATATACGACAAGATTCATTATATATTTACCTCAAGCTTTCGAATAATCCACAACAGAATTCAACCAATGTTACATACAGGACATCAAATGCAGCTGTTAGGAGCACATAATATATTTCGCATATAGCTATATGTATGAAAATTAGAACATAACATGTGTCTACATCGATTATATAATTTCCGAGATAAAATAGTCCCGTTTGGATTTTTTGCGTATTTGACGATGTATCCTTCTCTTTGGATTTTGTATTGATGGACTTGGTCAATAATGTTACAGATTGGTACATGATGAGGTGACCGATTAACAAAGCTAATTTACATAAAAACGTCAAATATTTATGATTATTATCGAATAAATATATCATTATTATAAAAAGTGAAATGCTTTTTCAAAAATATCGATAATTATTATAAAGTATATATGTTTCAATAATTATTATAAATTATATATGTATGTATGTGTATAAGTACAGAAAAACAATAATAAATATTTAAATAGATTTTTATATAAATTCAGTCGTTTAAAATTATTTAGAAGACTGAATTTATATTAAAGTCTATATAAATCTATTTAAAAATCCATTAAAATTTTTATTGTTTTTTCTGCACTGTATTATTATGCACATAAAACGCTGCATTATTAAACTCACTTATATAAATGTATCCAAATTTTCGTCCATATAACCCATGCAAATTATATATTTTAGTCTCTTCATCCAACTTTGAAGAAAGACAATATTTTTGCATATATATTAGAAGCAGTTTTAGCTATACAAAGAAAATTTATGATCAAAAACCATGTATGTTTTCGTCTATACTTTTATTATTATCATTTATGACTTTTGTTTACCCACTTTTGGTAACGTATATATTGCATAAATGATTTGAATTATGGTCACTATACTGAGAAATAATAGTAGCGGAGTATCGATTAGTTCAAAGGTATCATGCTCAATACTCATTAATCCCAATATCTATATTTCTCACATGGTTTGTATCAAGTAAATGTATAATAATCATGTATAATAATTATATATAACATATTATAATAACATGTAATGTTAATTGAATTGTCCGATTGTAAATTATGTTGTCAAGTATATTTAAAATCGAATATAAAATTGATATATAAATCTATCTGTACATATATTCTAGTATAAATTTCAATAATTAGCATAATTATTACTGTAATATTTAAATTCAATAATTTTTGATTGACATGTAGACATAAGCAAAAATTAAAAAGTGTACAAAACTTGAAAATGTGACAAAACATTTGTCTTTAATTTACCTCAAATATAAAAGGTCCGAATACGAGTATCATTGCGAGGTATGTCATCCAGCGTCTTCTTAACGTATGAAAAGGCCATAGACCGCTAATACTTAGTATCAGGCGAATAAAGTCGTAATGCGAATTTTTAAAGAATTGGTCAAATTGGTCGATATTATCCATGCTGTCTTTTATGTATCGTTGCTATTGCAAGAATGACGCATGGATTGCAAATATCTCATCAAGAATTCTCTTTAACTTTAATTGTCGCAGACAATTAATAGGTTGTCTGTATCAAGAATTCTGCTTAAATTGCAATTGCCGTACATCACGCAAAACACGTGTCAATAACATATTTGTGTCACAAGACCGATATAGTCTAATGAAGACTAATTCTTATAATTGCAAAATCATGTTAGTAAATTATGTAATTATACAAGGGACACAATCCAAAGGACTATTTCGATTGAAATTATTGTCGTACTTTATTTGACTCAAATAAAAAAGACATGAAAATTTTACTCATATGTAGAAAAAGTCACATTATATATATGAGTCGAAATGATACAGTCGTTTAATGCTGATTGTTTTGAAGAATAATGCTTTTTCTTTCATCAAGAGAATATTTAGGTTTTCATTGTTGAAGATTTTCTGAATGTTCGTTAGTCACGAAAACTACACATGTTTTATCAGAATCGAAGCGCGTAAATTAATCCTAATTTATAATAGTTATCGCATAAATATAATTTTATCATAAATTAGACAACATAATGTTAAACATTCTTATATACCAATAATAATATTATACCTCTCAAAACAATTTTCAATTATTGTACAGATCTAAAAACGGTGAAATACGAAGCGGACGCACGTACAATCTAGAAAATGGAAATGCGCAAAATATTCTGATCAATAAATAGAAAACATTGTTATGTAGAGTAAATTCAACATATATATTTATCGCACTGAAGCTAGGAAGAGAAAGGACCATGATTTTACTAACAGTTAACGTGCAAGGTACATAAAGTGCTTCTTAGCATCACGTTCAAAAGTTTTCTGGATTTCGGTGATGATTCGTACCGATAGCCTCGATAGCTAATATTAAGACGTAAAAAATTTGTATTTTAATATTAAAAATTTTATTAACATATTTTTTATAAATTGTAATAAAAACTTTTTACATTTTATTTATTCTTTTACTGTTGCATTTAATTGTGACATTAAAAAATTTTTTGTGAACAGAAATTTTACTGGCTTACATCGATGTGTATACACGACTGCTATGATCAATCACTTGTTGCCCTAACCAGCATGCGATGTATAAATGCAGTAATTGAGCAGTTATGTAACCACCATGTCGAAGAGCGAGTTCTGGAGTGAGGCTATCAATGGCTGCCTAAAAGATTCGAAACGATTTTAACCATAACTAGAACTTACAAAATCGTACATTATGTTATCACAATGAGCTCACTATATATATATATATATATATATATATATATATATATATAAATATATATATATATATATATATATATATACAGAGTGTTCCAAAAGTCCCAGACCGGTCGAATATGTCATAAACTATGCACTTTAGAAAGAAATGTTTCAAACAAAAGTTATATGGCTTGAAGGGGGCCATCAGATAGTGGCAATGATTTGACATGGGAGAGTCATTTGAAAGTCACGTGAACATCATCGTCAATTTCTTAAACGGAATCCCCTATTTTTTATTACATATTTGTGTAGCTTATCTCGAGGGCTTTCCAAAATACTATAATAAAGTATTTCTTCATTGAGTACTTTTCGAGTTATGACGCTTGAAACCATTTCTTAATTTTGCATAAACCATAAAATATTCATTTTTCGATTATCTTACCTTAATACTTTTATGTACAAAATAATGAGAGAAATTGGTGCAAAGAAAACACATAGTTGTTTTTAAAAAAAATATGTAATTGTTAATTGCAAATTTTGCAATTTTTGCTAAGATTGTACATACAAAACATCCTTAAAAAAATACAATACGTTATTGTACACAGCATGGTGCTAAATAGCATAGGTTTCGAATCACAAGAAGTTAAATTTTAAAATAAAAATAAAATTAGAGTAAATATTGGAAAAATTAGAAACAAAATTATAATAAAAAACCTAAAAAATAAAAACCTAATTTTTATCTCCATTTTTAGAAGAGTATATGTTTATATGAAAAACGCTTCTTAATTTTCGACAAAGAATCATCTCCTAAAATTTTTCGCACTTATTAAGAAACACCCTATACATATTCTTCATCTTATATTCTTAAGCTTTTTTATATATATTGCATTATTTTCTTCTTTAATAATAAATATAATCTTCCGTCAAAATAGTATTAAAGGAAATGGAATAATGATATCGAAATATGATTACAAATAAACGTAGAATATGCAATGTGAAGCCTACACAATTATTTTATAATTGAAAAATGCAAGTTTGATTAATATTCTAACGTAACATAATATATTTATTACATACGTATATCATATTGCAAAATAAAATAAAAAGAAATTTAATAATAAATAAATAAACAAAATTGAAAGTGGATATATTCGTCATTTTATTATTGATTTTCAGCTACTTTTTGCTGGGATTGTACAAACAAAACGTCCTTAAATGAGTACTTAAATTTTATTTAAATACATTAAATGAGTACATAAATTTTATTTAAATGAATTTCAAAATCTTGAGAAAAGAGAATTTAATATTTTCGCGGATCCGTCAAACTTACCTCAGAGCTGCAAACAATCCATAGCAATGTTGAACGCACGCCAAATACAAGACGTTGAACGCAGTCAATAATATCGTGTAATACACTTCGCATATGGAGCATTGTATGAGAAATGGGATGTAGCGCATTCGTAAATCAAGTATGTAGTTGATGCGATAGGTAGATTGTAACTCCTGCGTCTGATTGGACGCATCGATCATTCCAAAGGATGTCTCGTAGAAAAATCTGGTTATCAAAGTGAGTGCGAAAATCACGGCATGGCCAACTATAGTACCTGATAATTATGAAAACATTAGAGAGATTTCTAGACTTTAATAGATGATTATTGTTGGAGGATGGAAATAAAACATACATTTATTATTACGTATCGTTTTATCGATTTATTATAAAAGATGTTCTATACGAGAAGTGAAATATTTAAAAAATTGAATGCTAATTTTCTGGAATTAATTACTACAGGACATAAGTGCAAAATTACACAAACTCAAGTTTTTTAAAAGATATATTTTTGAAATTATTGATTGAAATACGAATATGTGTCGAGTCCATTAAAAATAAAAAAAAAAAATAATTTTTCAAATTTACATTTTACGTTTTGTTCTGATCAGATTTAATTTGTATTACTATTTGTATTACTTTCTCAAACTCAATAACTTGTGATTGCTCGTAAATGTCTTTCACCTTGTCTTAATTTGTTTTTAGTTTTCGACGAGCTTTAATAAACTTATAATTTATTATTATATTATTGAATTAATGAATTTACCTGCATAAATGTAGCTAAACTTTCGCCATGTGTATGCGACATGCACATGTTGTCAACACATTCATGCTGTGACACAAGCTACTACTATTAGGGGCTATTTGCGATCGATTGCGCAGTTGGTTATATTCAAAGGTATCGAGGATTAAAGGTAGTATTTCTTTTGCAGATTGCGAAACAATATAAACATCGATTGCATTAAATGAAAGACAGAATTTTGAGAATAAAAGGAACTCTTATCGATTCTTTCTATATCTTGGTACTGTTGCAAGTAAATTTTCAGTAAACTCTATCAAAGAGAATCGTATGATTTGAAAATTATAGAAAATATTATTCTACAAATTTCTTTTAGTAGGTTTTAATTTTTCTTTTGCCTTCAAAGAAATGATATCTTGTGATGAAAATGAAAAGTATTTCAATTAGTGTATTTTATTGCTGTTAATAAAAGTTTTCGAGTCTATTGCATGCAATCTCAATTATTCAAGTATTACATCTTCTACATGTGACTTATATAATTTCATTATGAATTACTAAATAATCATATTATTTATTAAAATTTTATGACTTATAAAAAAAACTGCTGATAAATAGTAATAGCTATTATGAAAAATTGTTCATGTCAATAAATGTTTGTAGAACAATTTTCAAAAAGTTAAATTAGTTTCTTCTTAAAAAAAACTTTTTCTATTGGAAAAATTATATAACAATTGTTTCAGGATTTTATTAAATTATTTACATAAACTGTAACGTCTCCTCAATTATTAAAGTATTAATATAAATATGAATTGTATTCAAAATGTTTATTGTAGAGAGCACAATAGCATAAAGTATGATGATGATGCGCGTATTACCTTAAACAATTTTTTTTATTTTTATAAAGCACGTATTTGCATGAAATAATTATACTTACCGCGTTAAAAGTTATGTATGACAATGCAAAGTGTTTGCCAATAGTGAGTTTCAATGGTTTTTTACTTGTCAGCATTATCATTATAAGAAGCTTTTGTGTCGCTATTGGCATATTGTACCATTTTGTGTTATATCTGCAAATTTCGCAACATTTCCGTGGTTTATTTCGTGTATTTATTTATAATTCCATATATTTATTTCACGATGGTACTATTATTCTTTTATTGCAGTCTGAGGCGCGATTTTATGAAAAAATATTATAAAATGCTATTACTAGATAGTTGTATAAAACGCACACGGATTCAAATACTTTTTCGCTGGAATCTATGATTTTTTGACCTTGCAAATTTTCAAAAAATATATTGATTAATAATGCATTCATATAACTGTAATGTTCTATAAAATTATTTATATTTTCCGTGTTTGTTATCATCTAAAAAATGGTAGCATAATATGAATAATATATATATGATAATATTATATATTCAATTTTAAATTAATTATATTCTATAATTTATATTAAATAATTTTTGTGCATCATGTGAAATTATATGTAAAACGTGTCATAGAAATTTCATCAAACGTATCTGTACGTATACCTGAAATCCCCTACAATGCTTAAACATATTACAAGAAACCCCACGTGTACAAAGAAAGTATGTTGTACATCGATTCCATAATAGCAATAAATCTAATGCATGAAGATATTATTTGAGATTATTATTATATGATAGAAATGTCAATACCCATTTAAATATACGCACTGCATCGTTTCGGTGTGTCTTCGAATACAGTATACGATATTTGAATAAGACGTATTCTGTGTTAATATTAAATCACCATTATTGTTTTTGAAATCGAATGCATTTTCTAATCTATATCTGAAATTTAATATTGTTCAAGTATTTAAAAAATGTATTAACAAAATTTAAACAAAATTTTCTTTTTTAGAGCAAGATTCATTATGTACGACAAGATTCATTATATATTTATCTCAAGCTTTCGAATAACCCACAACAGTATTCAATCAATGTTACATACAGGATATCGAATGCAGCTATTAGGAACACATAAGATATTTCGCATATAGCAGTATGTATGAAAATTGGAACATAATATGTGTCTACACCGATCATATAATTTACGGGATAAGATAGTCCCGTTTGGATTCCTTGCGTAGTATTTGATGACGTATCCATCTCTTTGGATTTTGTATTGATAAGCTTGGTCAATAATGTTATAGATTGGAACACGATGGGGTGACCGACTAACAAAGCTAATTTATATAAAAACATCAAATTTTTATGATTATTATCGAATAAATATATCATTATTATAAAAAGTGAAATGCTTTTTTAAAAATATCGATAATTATTATAAATTATATGTATATGTTTCAATAATTATTATAAATTATATATGTATGTATGTATATATATGTATGTGTATAAGTACAGAAAAACAATAATAAATATTTAAATAGATTTTTATATAAATTCAGTCGTTTAAAATTATTTAGAAGACTGAATTTATATAAAAATCGATTTAAATCTATTTAAAAATTCATTGAAATTTGTATTGTTTTTTCTGCACCTTATTATTATGCACATAATACACCGCATTAAATTCACTTATATAAATGTATTCGAATTTTCGTCCATATAACCCATGCGAATTATATATTTTAGTCTCTTCATCCAACTTTGAAGAAAGACAATATTTTTGCATATTTATTAGAAGCAGTTTTAGCTATACAAGGAAAATTTATGATCAAAAACCATGTACGTTTTCTTCTATACTTTTATTATTATCATTTATGACTTTTGTTTACCCACTTTTGGTAACGTATATATTGCATAAATGATTTCAATTATGGTCACTATACTGAGAAATAATATTAGCGGAGCATCGATTAGTTCAAAGGTATCATGCCAAATACTCATTAATCCCAATATCTATATTTCTCACGTGATTTATATCAGGCAAATGTATAATAATCATATATAACACATTATAATAACATGTAATGTTAACTGAATTGTTCGATTATAAATTATGTTGTCAAGTATATTTAAAATAGAATATAAAATTGATATATAAATCTATCTATACATATATTTCAGTATAAATTTCAGTTAATTAGCATAATTATTACTGTAATATTTAAATTCAATAATTTTTTATAGACAGTAAACATAATAAGCAAAAATTAAAATGTGTACAAAACTTGAAAATGTGACAAAACATTTGTCTTTAATTTACTTCAAATGTAAATCCAGATCCGAGTACGAGTATCATTGCGAGGTATATCACGTAGCGTCTTCTTAACATATGGAAAGGCCATAGACCGCTAATACTTAGTATTAGGCGAATAACGTCGTAATGCGAATTCTTAAAGAATTGGTCAAATTGGTCGATATTATTCATGCTGTCTTCTATCTATCGCTGCTATTGCAACAATGATGCATAGATTGCAAATATCTCATCAATAATTCTGTTTAACTTCAATTGTCGCAGGCAATTAATAGGTTGTCTGTGGCAAGAATTCCGCTTAAATTGCAATTGCCGTACATCACGAAAAATACGTGTCAGTAACATATTTGTGTCACAAGACCGATATAGTCTAATGAAGACTAATTCTTATAATTGCAAAATCATGTTAGTAAATTATGTAATTATACAAGAGACATAATCCAAAGGACTATTTGGATTGAAATTATTGTCGTAGTATATCTGACTCAAATAAAAGAGATATAAAAATTTTACTCATATGTAGAAAAAGTCACATAATATATATGAGTAAAATGGTACAGTCGTTTAATGCTGATTGCTTTGAAGAATAATGCTTCTTTTTTCATCAAGAGAATATTTAGGTTTTTATTGTTGAAGATTTCCTGAATGTTCGTTAATTACGAACAACTATACATATTTTATCAGAATCAAAGCGCGTAAGTTAATCCTTTTGTGTCGCTATTGGCATATTGTACCATTTTGTGTTATGTCTGCAATTTTCGCAAGATTTCCATCACGCCAAGTTTTCATATCTTACTTCGACCTGAAGGTCATTTATGCGATTTAGAATTTGTATAAAGCTTTTTTAAATTATGTACATCATATAAAAAATGCTTTAGGAATTAAAGTTAATTTTAACTCATTTAGTATCGATTAGGAATTAAAGTTAATTAAAGTTAATTTTAACTCATTTAGTATCGATTACGAATTAATATCACATAATTTATTGTACTTGGCTAATAGTATTATACATCTCATATCGATTATTAAATATTTTATTTTTATCACTTTTTTAGATTTTTTGATTTTTTTATATACTTGGCGTATTTTTTACCTTTATAAGGTTAATATAAATTCCGTTTAATATTGATTGCCATGTGTATGCGACATGCACATGTTGTCAACACATTCATGCTGTGAAACAAGCTACTACTATTAGGGGCTATTTGCGATCGAATGCGCAGTTGGTTATTGTTGTGTTTTTGTTGTGTTTTGGAGTGCAAATTGTTATGTTAGTTTGTAGTTTACAAATAATGTTTAACGTCGTTGTATCTTGATATTATGTCTTGATTCCATGAACAGTCCGAAGTAGTAGAAGATTCGAGCACTATGTTGAACTCCGTACACGTCGGCCACACCTATGCTTCTCCGACGATCCGTCTCTCGGTAGGCCTTTTAAAGCTTCTTCTCACTGAGGTGCCGTATGCAAGGTCGTGTCATGTGCATCCTCGTGCCACGTCGTGATTCTATTGTTCTGAGCATTCCGATCCAGGTGATGCAGTCGATGCAGTCATGTATGATTCACGCTCATCGGATGAAGTAGCGCAATATATCCAACATTCCTCCCTTGCTTAAGAATGCTGTCCTCGGTAGCGGCGAGTTCATCCTAATGCCTTGTAATCTGATCGAATTTGATGCGAAAGACGCTTAGAACGACGAGCCGCTGCTACTGGAGGTTGTGTGGCCCCGGAAGGATTTTCAGAACGACGAGCAGATGCTACTGGTTGTGTGGTCCCGTTGTTGAGAGGTTCTGCCTCCTGTCTTTCTCCTAGCGAAGTGTGAAGTACTGGATCTGATTGAATCCGTGCTGATTCTTTCCCGGAGGATAGTAGATCTTCGCTAATCGTATTGGATTTCTTTTCCTGTCTCTTTGGACGATTCCATATTTGATTGAAATGTCTAGTAATGAATCCTCCTTCAAAGCTGACGCGAGCGAGTGCTTTCTCTATCAGCCTAACAATTTTACCAGGAATACGCTGTCCATTGGAGAGTTGAATTAGTACTGATTGTCCTATAACAAATGAACGTGGCCTTGCGCCGTGATGAGCGTCGAATTGCTGTTTCATTTGTTTCTGCTGAGAAGTAAGATTTAGATTAGGTTTTTCGGTTGCAGTAAAAATATCTAATGGAGTTCTAAGCTTACGTCCAAAGAATATTTCTGCCGAAGACTTATGATCTGGTACCGCATCACTGGGTGTGTAGTTGTATGCGTAACAAAATTGTTTAATTCCGTTTCTAACTGTGAACTTTGACTTGTGTCAATAGAACTTTTCAATGTTCTGACCATTCTCTCGGCTTGACTATTTGATTGTGGATGCCCAGAAGGGATACGCAGGTGAAGAATTCGAAATTCGGCACACAGTTGCGCGAATTCTACTGAAGTGAATTGAGTACCGTTATCTGAAACTAGTATTTCAGGAGGTCCGTATCGACTAAAGAGTCTTCGCAGACATGTTGCTGCCGATGTTATTGTTAAGAACATCCTGCTTTTACGAATTTGGAGTAGCTGTCGACAATGACGAGTACCCATTGTCCATATATCAGGTCTGCGAAATCAATGTGAAGGCGTGACCATGATTTCTCTGGATTTGGCCATGGATGTAATGGTTCTTTTACTGGATTGCTTGCTGTGCGATCGCAATGATTACATTCTTTTACGTATCTCTCGATGTCATCATGCATCGCTGGCCAATAGAAATAACGTCGAGCAAGCTGTATCATCCGGCGGATACCTGGATGTGCAATGTGTAGTTGCTTCAGTACAGTAGATTGTAGATGTTTAGGAATTATTAGTTTCTCATCTAGAACTAATGTATTATCAACTATGGCTAAATAATCGCGACGACGATAATATGGCATTAACTCCTTGTCAGTTACGTCCGATTTGAGCCATCTGTTTTGTAGACGATCAATAACCTCAGCGAGAATTCCATCGCTGAATGTTGCGCTCTGGAGCTCTTGTCGAGCCGTTGAAGGTAAGAACTGTACTGATTCGTTGACAATCTGTTGTAGCTCTGTATCTGCTTCCTGTAGCGCAGCTACAACTTCTTCGAGGTCGGCGTCTATTACGTCTTGTTTTACATCCTGTATTAACCTTGAAAAAGCGTCCGCTTGACCAAATTTTTCGGAGTTGACATATTCTATGTCAAAGTCGTACCCAATTAGTCGAAGAGCCCATCGTTTCAAGCGATTTGCTGTGCGTGTATCTAGACCTTTTGTATTCGACGCTTTAAACAGAGCTAGAAGTGGACGATGGTCCGCGACGTTTGTAGCACGAAGTGACGACCATATACGAATTTTCGAAAACGTTCAACAGTGACTAATGCTAAAGCTTCTTTTTTGATTTGACTGTAATTCTGTTGAGTCTTTGTCAATGCTTTTGACATGTGAAAGACTGCTTTTACCTGGCCGTCTGGGGCGCGCTGTAACAAGACGCCACCAATTCCGATCGAACTAGCGTCTGCTGCAACGATCAGAGTTTGTCTGGGATCGTAATGCGCTAGTAGAAGTGGTCCAGTAAGAATATTTTTAATATCCTCAAACGTTTTCTTCATTTTTGCTGTCCACACGAAAGGTACATCTTTCTTGATCAAAGCTTTGAATGGTGCTTTGAGTCGATGCAAATTTGGTACAAATTTCCCGTAGTAATTAATCAGACCTAAAAGCGAGCGTATCTCTTTTGCATTCGTTGGAACTCGCATTGTTCGAATAGGTCGAAGACGTGCTGGGTCAGGCTCGATACCTTTAGCTGAAACAATAAATCCAAGGTATTTAACTATTAAAGTATGAAATTTACATTTTTCCTTTTGGAGTCGAAAACCCCATTCTTGCAAGCGGTTTAGCACGGCGTGTAAACGCGTATCGTGCTCTGTGCGTTCCTGACCATAAATCAGAATATCATCAAGATAGACCAGTACGCCTGGAATACCTGTAAGTGCCTGTTCCAACGTACGTTGGAAAATTGCAGGAGCTGGTTTTAACCCAAAAACCAACCGATTGTAAGCAAATAAACCTCGATGAGTATTTATTGTAGTTAGCTTCTTACTTTCCTCATCCAGTTTTAGATGGAAATAAGCATCAAATAAATCTAGTTGTGAGAAGATAGAACTTCCTCGAAGTTTTGCCATAAGTTCCTCTATCCCTGGGATTGGATAATCCTCCGCGTCAAGTGCGTCATTTAATCCTGTAGAGTAGTCTGCACAAATACGTATTTTCCCATTTGCTTTGCGTGCAACTACTATGGGCGCCGCCCATTCCGAAAAGTCGACTGGCGTTAAAATTCCATTTTTAACGAGTCTATCCAGTTCCTCATTGACTGGTTCTTCTAATGCAAGTGCGATCGGACGTCATGGAATATGTTTCGGTTTCACATCTGGTTTAAGCCATAGATGAACTGTCATCTTGGTGCATTCTCCTGTGGAACTACTAAAAAGTTCTGTGAATTGTTTATGAAATGAATTTACCGTAATCGTATTCATCGTTTGCAGATTTCCGACGACTCCTGTATCGTAGGTAATTAAGCCAAGCTCATCTATTGCTTGAGAGCTAAGTAGTACAGTTTCTGGACGATCAAGTACGATGACTTGTGCTTTTATTATACAGTCTTTGTAGCCAAGTGAGGCGTTAAAAAATCCTATGGTATGCATTGGATGTCCTGAAACATTCACACATGAAGTAGTAAGAGGTTGGAGTTTTGGACGACCGATTCGTGTCCAAGTTTCTCTTCCGATCATAGTTACGTCCGCTCCTGTATCCAGCTGCATTTTCAATGGCTTGTTATTGATAGTAATATGCGCGAATTTGTGATACCGATGTCTTGTGCCTAGAACACCTTGTAATGTGACAGTATTTATTTTATTTCGTTGCTTCGATAAACAAACTCTAGCAATGTGTCCCGTTTTCTTGCAGATTCTACATGCTGCATTCTTAAACGGACATGCATCCCGTTTGTGTTTCGTAGAACCGCAGTCATAGCATGGCGATAATGTAGTAGAATTTCTCTTTCTCTCGTACTGCAGTGTAGTAGGATTTGTTTTCTTTTCATAATATTTACCTTTCTTTTTTAGGTGAATTCTTTGTAGATTGGCTGACCGCGTTGATTTCGGAGAAGCGCTGTCCTTCAACGCGCATGACGTCAGCCGTGCGGTTTGCATGTGCGTAGCAGATTTCTCTAATGTCTTGAAATGTGCAGTTTTCTTTTTCTGATGCAACCTTGAAGAGGACTGTTCGCTCCGTGTAGTAGGTGTGGTTGCTTAGGGCGAGAGCCGTTAGTAGAATTTTGAGCTGGTCGATATTGAAATTATCGAGCTCAAAGACATCTCCCAGAACATTTACTTTGTCAAGTATTTCTATAGCCGTTGCTGACGGGGAAGCACGAAAATTGAGAGCTTCAAAACGACGTTGAAATAACGTTTTATTATCATGGAACTGTTTTCGAAGATGTCGCTCGAGATCGCCAAGAGACATCTCCTGCGGTTTCTTCGGCGATAAACGACTGAGTAATTGTTGATGCTCGTCGTCCCCGAGAGCATTAAGAAGTAGATCTTTGCCCTCCGTATCGGTTAAACCCTTCGTTCCTTCCGCAAAAGTCTTCTATGTCGTTCAAACTATAACGTGAAGGTTTTACCCCTTGTAGGGTCATGAACGAATTTACCAAGCCGTGTAGCCAGATTTGCGAATTGCGACGACTTTGCAGTATCGTCCGTTCCCGATATTCGATGTGATAGTATCTCTGCCATTTGTTTTTGTGATTCACCGATTTGCTTTTGTGACTCACCAATCTGACGTAATGTGTGCTCCTGGCTTAGTGCAGCTTCTGCTAGTGCTTGAAGTAGTCGGTCCATTTTCTTACAGGTTCAATAAGCAGCACCAATTGTTGTGTTTTTGTTGTGTTTCGGAGTGCAAATTGTTGTGTTAGTTCGTAGTTTACGAATAATGTTTAACGTCGTTGTGTCTTGATATTATGTCTTGATTCCATGAACAGTCCGAAGTAGTAGAAGATTCGAGCACTACGTTGAGCTCCGTACACGTCGGCCACATCTATGCTTCTCCGACGATCCGTCTCTCGGTTGGCCTTTTAAAGCTTCTTCTTACTGTGATGCAAGGTCGTGTCATGTGCATCATCGTGCCATGTCGTGATTCTATTGTTCCGAGAGTTCCGATCCGGGTGATGCAGTCGATGCAGTCATGTATGATTCACGCTCACCGGATGAAGTAGCGCAATATACCCAACAGTTATATTCAAAGGTATCGAGGATTAAAGGTAGTATTTCTTTTGCAGATTGCGAAACAATATAAACATTGATTGCATTAAATGAAAGACAGAATTTTGAGAATAAAAGGAACTTTTATCGATTCTTTCTATATCTTGGTACTGTTGCAAGTAAATTTTCAATAAACTCTATGAAAGAGAATCGTATGATTTGAAAATTATAGAAAATATTAGTCTACAAATTTCTTTTTCTTGTGATAAAAGTGAAAAGTATTTCAATTAGTTTATTTTATTGCTGTTAATAAAAGTTTTCGAGTCTATTGCATGCAGTCTCAGTTATTCAAGTATTATATCTTCAATATGTGACTTATACAGTTTCATCATAAATAATTGCTAAATATTGATATTATTTGTTAAAATTTTATAACTTATAAAAAAATTACTGTTAAATACTAATAGCAGTTATGAAAAATTATTCATGTCAATAAATATTTGTATGACAATTTTCAAAAAATTAAATTAGTTTTTTGTTTTAAAAAAACTGTTTTTATTGGAAAAATTATATAACAATTGCTTCAGGATTTTATTAAATTATTTAAATAAACTGTAACGCCTCCTCAGTTATTAAAGTAATAATATAAATATGAATTGTATTTGAAATATTTATTGTAGAGAGCGCAATAGCATGAAGTATGATGATGATGCGCGTATTACCTTAAAATTTTTTTTATTTTAATAAAGCACGTATTTGTATGAAATAATTATACTTACCGCGTAAAAAGTTATGTATGACATTGCGAAGAGTTTACTAATAGTGAGTTTCAATGGTTTTTGACTTGTCATCATTATCATTATAAGGAGCTTTTGTGTCGCTATTGGCATATTGTACCATTTTGAATTATATCTGCAAATTTCGCAAGATTTCCATGGTTTATTCCATGTATTTATATATAATTCCATGTATTTATTTGACGATTGTGTTATTACATTTTTATTGCAGTCTGATGGGTGATTTCATTAAAAAAAAATATTATAAAAATATTATAAAAAGCTATTATTAGATGTTGTATAAAACGTACACGGATTCAAATATCTTCTCGCTGGAATCTATGATTTTTTGACCTTGCCAATTTTTAAAAAATATATTGATTAATAATCCACTCATATAAATACAATATGTTATAAAATTATTTATATTTTCCGTATTTGTTACCATCTAAAAAAAAAATAGCATAATATGAATAACATATATATGATAATATCATATATTCAATTTTAAATTAATTATATTCTATAATTTATATTAAATAATTTTTGTGCATCATGTAAAATTATATGTAAAACGTGTCATAGAAATTTCATCAAACGTATCTGTACGTATACCTGAAATCCTACAATGCTTAAACATATTACAAGAAACCCCACGTGTACAAAGAAAGGTACGTTGTACATCGATTCCATAATAGCAATAAATCTAAAGCAAGAAGATATTATTTGAGATTATTATTATACGATAGAAATATAAATATACTTATATAAATATACTATTTAAATATACTTACTGCATCGTTTCGATATGTCTTCGAATACAGTATACGATATTTGAATTAGACGTAATCTGTGTTAATATTAAACCACCATGATTGTTTTCGAAATCGAATGCATTTTCTAATCTATATCTGAAATTTAATATTGTCCAAGTATTTAAAAAAATGTATTAACAAAATTTAAACAAAATTTTCTTTGGTTTAGAGCAAGATTATATATTTACCTCAAGCTTTCGAATAATCCACAACAGTATTCAACCAATGTTACATACAGGATATCAAATGCAGCTCTTAAGAGCAAATATATGATATTTCGCATATAGTTATATGTATGAAAATTAGAACATAATATGTGTCTACATCGATCACATAATTTCCGAGATGAAATAGTCTCGTTTGGATTCTTTGCGTATTTGACGATGTATCCTTCTCTTTGGATTTTGTAGTGATGAGCTTGGGCAATAATGTCACAGATAGGTACATGATGAGGTGACCGATTAACAAAGCTAATTTATATAAAAACGTCAAATTTTTATGATTATTATCAAATAAATATATCATTATTATAAAAAGTGAAATGCTTTTCCAAAAATATCGATAATTATTATAAATTATATATGTTTCAATAATTATTATAAATTATATATGTATGTATGTGTATAAGTACAGAAAAACAATAATAAATATTTAAATAGATTTTTATACAAATTCAGTCGTTTAAAATTATTTAGAAGACTGAATTTTTTTTAATATAAAAATCTATTTAAATCTATTTAAAAATCCATTAAAATTTTTATTGTTTTTTCTACACTATATTATTATGCACATAATACACTGCATTATTAAACTCACTTATATAAATGTATCCAAATTTTCGTCCATATAACCCATGCGAATTATATATTTTAGTCTCTTCATCTAACTTTGAAGAAAGACAATATTTTTGCATATTTATTAGAAGCAGTTTTAGCTATACAAAGAAAATTTATGATCAAAAACCATGTATGTTTTCGTCTAAACTTTTATTATTAGCATTTATGACTGTTGTTTACCCACTTTTGGTAACGTATATATTGCATAAATCATTTCAATTGTGGTCACTATACTGTTAAATAATTGTAGCGGAGCATCGATTAGTTCAAATGTATCATGCCCAATACTCATTAATTCCAATATCTATATTTCTCAACATGGATTGTATAGGCAAATGTATAATAATCATATATAACACATTATAATAACATGTAATGTTAATTGAATTGTCCAATTGTAAATTATGTTGTCAAATATATTTAAAATAGAATATAAAATTGATACATAAATCAATCTATACATATATTCTAGTAATATAAATTTCGTTAATTAGCATAATTATTATTGTAATATTTAAATTCAATAATTTTTGATAGACAATAGACATAAGCAAAAATTAAAAAGTGTACAAAACTTGAAAATGTGACAAAACATTTGTCTTTAATTTACCTTAAATATAAAAGGTCCATGTACGAGTATCATTGCGAGGTATATCAACCTGCGTCTTCTTAACGTATGAAAAGGCCATAGACTACTACTACTTAGTATCAGGCGAATAAAGTCGTAATGCGAATTTTTAAAGAATTGGTCAAATTGGTCGATATTATTCATGCTGTCTTTTATGTATCGTTGCTATTGCAAGAATGACGCATAGATTGCAAATATCTCATCAAGAATTTTGTTTAACTTTAATTGTCGCAGACAATTAATAAGTTGTCTGTATCAAGAATTCCGCTTAAATTGCAATTGCCGTACATCACGCAAAACACGTGTCAATAACATATTTGTGTCACAAGACCGATATAGTCTAATGAAGACTAATTCTTATAATTGCAAAATCGTGTTAGTAAATTATGTAATTATACAAGAGACATAATCCAAAGGACTATTTCAATTGAAATTATTGTCGTGGTATATTTGACTCAAATAAAAAAGACATAAAAATTTTACTCATATGTAGAAAAAGTCACATTATATATGTGAATTGAAATGGTACAGTCGTTTAATGCTGATTGCTTTGAAGAATAATGCTTTTTTTTTCATCAAGAGAATATTTAGGTTTTTATTGTTGAAGATTTCCTGAATGTTCGTTAGTCATGAAAACTACACATGTTTTATCAGAATCGAAGCGCGTAAATTAATCCTAATTTATAATAGCTTTCGCATAAATATATTTTATCATAATTTAGACAACATAATGTTAAACATTCTTATATACCAATAATAATATTATAAATCTCAAAAAAATTTTCAATTACTGTACAGATCTAAAAACAGTGAAATACGAAGCGGACGCACGTACAATCTAGAAAATAGAAATGCGCAAAATATTCTGATCAATAAATAGAAAACATTCTTATGTAGATTAAATTCAACATATATCCTACGGCACTGAAGCTCGGAAGAGAAAGGACCATAATTTTACCAACAGTTAACGTGCAAGGTACATAAAGTGCTTCTTAGCATCATCACGTTCAAAAGTTTTCTGGATTTCGGTGATGATTCGTACCATTCTCCTCGATAGCTAATATTAAGACGTAAAAAATTTGTATTTTAATATTAAAAATCTTATTAATATATTTTTTATAAATTGTAATAAAAACTTTCTACATTTTATTTATTTTTTTACTGTTGCATTTAATTGTGACATTAAAAAACTTTTTGTGAACAGAAATTTTACATTCTGGCTTACATCCATGTGTATACACGACTGATATGATGAATCACTTGTTGCCAGCGTACGATGTATAAATGCAGTAATTGAGCAGTTATGTAACCACCATGTCGAAGGGCGAGTTCTGAAGTGAGGCTATCAATGGTTGCCTAAAAGTTTCGAAACGACTTTAACCATAACTAGAACTTACAAAATCGTACATTATATTATCACAACGTGCTCGCAATATACAGGGTCTACCAAAAGTGTGGAAACCCCTAAATATCTCGGAAAATATACGTTTTACAGAAAAGTGTTTCCAACAAAAGTTGTAGGGTTTAAGAAGATCTATATACTGATTCTATCAGTTTGACCTTGGATGGCGTCGTCAAGGTCAGG